ATACATGATGGCTAAGTAAAAGGCGTATAAGATCCCAAACAAATTAAATTATATTAAAACAAATTCCTTTAATGAGGAAAACCCACTCCTTTTTTAAACGCAAGCACCACAATACAAAATCTTACGGCCCTCAGCTTTACAGGAGAGAAATATATATAAAAAAATTCTTTAATAGAGGTTTTCATCTTTGAAATTTCAGCGTAATTTCACGGAATGTTTATGGTTTCGTGACCCTATTTCAGCACTCATTAAATTCATGCTATAAATCTTTTATTTCTCTCTCTTTTCATAATTCACTGAGGCTTAAGTTTTATTTCCTCGTTTTTGAAATCGTATTGTAATAAATGTTGGAAAAAGGGCCAAATAACTGAAATATTAAGAAGACATTTGCTGAAATTAGATAATAAACAGAAAAATAATAACATTTTATTAAGAAATTAAAATATTAATTTAAAAATTTTTTTTTTGATATGTTATTTGTAGAATGTGGTATTGCTTAGATTAAACAGGTTTATGAATAGATATGAAAATTCGTTTGTTTTTTGAGTATAAACATTTTGAATTTGTGTTTTAATGATGGCGTGCTTCCAAATTTTCGTTATTAGAATCTAAATGTGAACTAAAAGAAAAAGAGGAAAAAAAAGACTCCTGTAATTTTACGCAAAATTTGTTTTTATGGAACTTTTGATTTAAAATAAAGTTGCTTTTTATGATCATCGTTAAATTTTGGGTTCTGAATTTACATCGGATTACGTTTAAAAACATGTTTAACCTTGCTGTTGAGTCTCAAGCCTGGACACGTTGATTAAAAGCTGGGCTCTATTTTGAATTACGATTTACTTTTCAGTGATTAGCTTTCTCTTTTATGAAATAATATACTTTCTGAGGTAATACGATACGATTAAAATAAAAATCTAATTTAATGGTTTTTACAAGTTACAAGTTTTTTGCTTGTAATCCAAATATATGTAGTATGAAAAAAGGAATGTTAGTTCAAAATACTACAAAAAGCTAATCAATTATTAAAAAAACTTTTAATTCATCAAGTAAATTTAAATGCTACTTCTACAATATCTGACGAACGCACAAGGAATTTTATTTATAAGTAAATTGGACTTTGCACAAAAAGATGTGTGTGTTTTGTATTAAAATTATCGAAATTCATAACATAATATTTTTTTGTGAATGCTAATTGAAAATTCCTTAAAACTGTATATGTTCTAAACTCAACTATTTTTTAAAAATAAATTAAGTATTATTTTCATTTAAAAAGGAATGCCGACAGTTGTTTCTATGTATTAATAGCAATAGTTAAAAATTTTTTTTAAAAAAACAAATATTCGGATTAATAGTAGGAAAACAAGCGTTACCGTTTTAAATAAGGATATTTTTTTTAATTCTATAATCAGTTTTAAACTTTTATTTTTCATCTGAATATGAATAAAAACGAACATAAAAGTTATTATAACTTTAGAATTTTGTCACTTAGAGTTTTTAAATTTTGTGATGTATTAGAACAGGGGTGTGCAACGCAAATTACCTCGCGTGCCACTTTGGAAAAACCTTACAATCCCGCGGGCTGCATATAAAATATATATATTTATCTTTATATTAGATTTGGATCCATTACAAACATTTGTTCGAGAGAAAATTTAAAACAAACTGATATATTATTATTGTTTTCAATGTTTTTCATGTATACAAACATAGATAATATAATAATAATAATGCAATGATCAAATAATGTTTAATTTATTTAATTAGTGAGATATCTGTTTCTCGATTCTTTCACTTAGTTTTTGCAAGTGTATTCATGTGTATTTGCGTATCGTAATTGATGTTGCAGATTTTTGTGAATTAAGTTTGAATACGATTTATGTTTGATAAATTTCAATTCAGAAAAAAAAAGATTCACAGTAACAGAAACAACGTGATCAAATAATAACAGTTATGGGATTAATTTTTTACAAAAAAAACCTCTTTAAATAAAAAATATTGTACAAAATAGTCGAATTTTGTGATCTCACGGGCCGCAATATTATTCAAGGCGGGAGGCGGGTTGGACACCCCTGTATTAGAAAAATACGTAAAGAACTATTTAAACTAAAATAATTGAATTAGGAAAATCATCCCATTTTATTCAATTTAATCGTACTGTGTCACTTAATTTGTTCCACTGGTGCTGAGTTGGTATCTTAGTGCAACACGCAAAGTTGTTTATATTCGCCAAGATGGGCGATGACATTACAATATGGTTACCTTGATATTTCTATCGTGTGGTGATGTGGTTGCCATGGAGATGATGTATATTATAGTTAATTGGTAATACTCTTTATTCCGCGGTAACCCTATTAATTTCACATGATTTTAGTTCGATTTTAATAAAAATTTAACCATTTTCATTGCAATCGTAATGCAAGCTACTGTTTCAGCCTTCTGATGTATGTTGTGTTATTTTCGAATAAAGATATTTCTAATATCATTGGTGAGTACCAGGATATTTTTTTTCACGAATATATATATATATGAAGCCTGTGCTTTTAAATATTGCTGCAAATTGCGCATTCACACTTTATTTTACTTATAAATAGTGCACTTTTAAACGTTCCTTGTTCGATGAAATTAAGCTAGCAGTTTTTGGAATATTGCAAGTTATCAGCAACTATTAACTACAATAATTAATTTCAAAATATGCATAATGTAATTATTTTATGTATAATTATATAATACAATTATTATTATATTATATTATATTATATTATTATATATATAATTATTACTATACTGAATTGATATTAATTATTGATTGATATTGATACTGTTGAAGTATTCTTTATTTGAAATATATTTTAATATATTCTGAAGCAGTTCTTTAAAATTATTTTCCTGATGGTATGTTACAGTTAAGTCGCCATGTTGGATTTCATATCCTCAACGACAAGCTCTGCTCGGCGTGTAGTACTCCAATATCATATTAGTTCCAAAAATACTATTAAATGCTATAGTAAAGTAATAAAAAAATGTCTATTATATGTATATATTATATGCTAAGTAAACACTGCTCAACTGGTACTTAAAAATTGTTTTGTAAGGAACTTATGAAAAGGAGTACTAACGCATGAAAGTTCAAGAAAGCTGTCATTACGTACTGTTAAAGAATATGGATCGATTTCGGAATATTTTTTTCAGATATTTAAATAATTCATTTTACCGTAAAATCCTGCGTATAACGCGCACTTTGAACACAAAAAATAAGATCGAAATTTAAGGGTGCGTATTTTACGCCGGGTATAAAAATGAGCTTTAAAAATTAAAAAAAAAAAGAGACATGGACAATAAAAAATTATTTTTCTTCATACATCGAAATACTGTTCATTTAAAATAAATGACATTCCTGATGAAATTAAAGGGTTGCAATTCTAGAAATATACTATATTTTCCAAAAGCTTGGGATAATACCTCGAATAAAGGACTTCAAAACATAAAAATATTACATACGTACATTTCAAGTATCTTCGTGCCCGTTATACGACGAATATACCTTAAAGTTAAAAAATGAAGCTGGAAAGTAAGGGGGTGCGTTATACGCCAGATTTTATGGTAATTATCATATTCAGGCTCCACTATCTTAAACGAGTCTCATATTTTATCTCAGTACTCATCTTTATATGAGTGGATCAAAGTTTTCTGCTACAAAGGGGTTCTGCATTTTTCCACTTATATCAATACTAAAAAGCTATCTCGTTGTATGTTAAAATGGAAAACTAACTGTTATGTGAAGTTTCGAAATTCTAAAACTTTTGTATGCTGATCTGTTGTATGAATTACAATGCTGCAAATGTTCAGGACAACTGAGCTTTTTTTTGTCTGAGAATCCGTCTCGTTTATAGTCTAGAACAGTGCTTCTCAAAGTTTCAATGCTTGCGACCCAATATTCAATCGTAATTTTCATCGCCCCCAAACAATAACAATATGTTTAAGTCAATAATACTATACTTTGACGCTAAAACTACAGTACGACTTAAACCTATTGAGTGCCACCGGCGTATATAAACGTCTCGCTCAGCCAAAGTGTTAATTGCCTCTGACATATACATACGTCTTCCCGAAATACGATGTTTTCTGTGAGCTGCTATTCATAAAATTATTCCGAAGGCTTTGGAATGCAATTAATGGACATTGACAGCATTTGCGAAGAATTTCCTTTTTTTATTCCTTTTCTCCCCTCAACGACACATCCCTTACGCTCGCGTAGGTGTTAAGCAAAAGCATTGGGGAGATCATGCAATTTTTAATCGCCATTTAAGGGATTAATTATAAACCGTATAAATTATCAAGATAAGGGTTACTTTGTGTACAATTTTATATACGACAAGTCCACGGGGGTTATTAGTAATTGTTAATGTTGTTCTTAACTTAATATTATTTAAATTAACTATAAAATACATTGTGCAGTACTGATACATTTATAAGTGTATTATATCAGTGTAAATGTGCATTTTATTTTTTATTATGTCAGAATGTATTTTGTTTCTTTACGTTCAGTAAATTAATGATTTTTAAAATTATGTTTTGTCTTCTACATTTCAATAAGCTCACGCCCCCTCGGGGAGTTATTACGCCCCTCTAGGTTGGCGCACCCCACATTTTGAGAAACGCTGGTTTAGAACCTTATGTATTTGGCGAAGATCCATAAAAAAACATATATATAAAATAAAATTAAATCGATTCCTACTTAGGTCAATAAAATTTTTTTTACTCTAGTTATATTTTTTATTAAACAGTTACAATTAATATATATATATATATATACATACATATGGCAGAATCACACTATTAAGTGACAAAATAGAAGGCGACTTTCCATTTCCTTTTCTATATAGGGTGTTGAACTATTTGTTTTTGTTTGTGTGTGTGTGTTATTATATATTCATTAATTAAATTTAATTATTCTAATAAAATAGTTTCGTAAAAGAAAATCACATTCTCAGACATCAGGCCATCCCAGGCGGGACTCGAACCCACGACCTATGGATTAGAAGTCCACCGTGCTATCCATTGCACTACAGGAACACAACGAACTGTTTTCCTTCCTATATATGCTGTTACACTATTATATTTGTTTGTTACTCTTTACTCATAGCATAAATCTAATTAATGAATTAATAATTAAAAAAACTGTATTAACATCAAGTGTCATCCTCTACAAGTTAAAAAATTGTACTTGAACTTGTGTTGTTAAAAAAAAAAAGTATTTTATTAACAATTGAAAATTTGAATAAGATATATATATAGGGAGATTATGAACTAATAGTAGGAATTGAATAGGTATTTTGTAGCCAATTATTATTATAACACATCACTTACATGAACGACACCTCAATCTAATGTCCATTTAGAACCTTATATTTTCGCTTCTTATTCTTTCCCCCAATTAAGCAAATCCTGTTTTTTATATTTTATTTATACATTTTAATGGCATTAACTACAAATGCTGACTCTTGGTAATGTAGGGGGAATAGCATTTACTCATGGCGCTTAGTTCTTCTGAATTTCAGTGATAGCCAATTTAAAATATTCTAATATATATATATATAGCCAGAATCAGACATAGTTTTAAAAAAGGTCTTTATTCTAGAATTAGTACATCTCTCTTCTGGAGCTAAGAGCACGGAGGAAAAACACGCCACGGTGTGTTTTAATTGGGTTAGCACTTAAAACACCGATGGGGTAAGTATCGTGGATTTTATGATTGTACTTGAAAGTTAATGCTCACATATAGGGCTATTAAATATAACGATCTGTAATTGACATGTTTATTGGTGGGCCCTTTTTTTCGGAAGAAATAAAAGGGGGATTATTTGTTTTGAAGATGAAATAAAAAATATGAGTTAAGTGCTGATAGGGAATTAAATTTTTAATCAATTTAATTATCCTTTAAATATAGATATATATAAAATTATATTTATTATTAACCGGGCCCAAAAAATATTTCAGAATGAAAAAGGTAGTTTTTTGCCTTCCCCTTCAATTTTTTTTTCTTTTTTATTTACTTATTAATTTTTTTCTGAATTTATCTATTAATATAAATGATTGCAATCTATTGCATATTTTAAATTATCTGATGTATCATCCCACTTATAACATTTTGGTAATTGAATTAAGTCTAGCTATGTAAGAATTCATGACACAAAAATTCCCCATACAAATCCTTTTCTATTTAGCTCTTTACTTATCCTTTTCCTTTTTCTTCAACTTCATTAAACACCCTATAGCTCTGTTTCCTCCTTCTTACGTGAAGATTGCCTCCTTTTCAATTAAATGCTTTGACAGAAAGGTCGATCTTCTTTTCAATTAAATCTAAGCTCTGGACACTGTCCTGCGTCCATTTTCCAAGAAGGAATTCAGTTAAGCAAACTATTCGCTAAACGATTGGCTTTCTTTTCATCCATCCACATGGAGTAAGCGCTGAGTGATAGATGAAAGGAAAAATTAATTGGTTTTAGTGTTGTTTGTGAAGTAAGAAAGAGCTTTTTTCAGTGAATCTTCAAATTTTGGTTGAAACTGATTATATAACATATAAAATGTTTGAATATAAAAAAAAGCATATTTGTACTAAAAACTGTTACATACATAAACATTTGAGTATTCTAAACGTAAGAATGTTTTGACTAAAAACTATTATAAACATGAACATTTGACTATTATAAAAACAAGTAACATAAAAAAAAATTTAGTCAAATCCTACTTAGATCAACAAAGAAAAATTTATTTTAGTTACTTTTTATCAAATAATTACAATTAATGTAAATATGTATATACCGTAAAATCTGGCGTATAACGCGCACTTTGAACACAAAAATAAGATCGAAAATTAAGGGTGCACGTTATAGCCAGGGTATAAAACGGTGCTAAAAATAACAAAAGGATGGGCAAAAAAAAATTTACTTCTAGATGTATTGAAACACAGTTTATTTAAAAGAAACGGCTTGCTTTATGAACAAGAACAGTTGTAGTTCTAGAAGTATACTATTTTTTCAAAAGTTTGGGATAATACCTTGAATAAATTATTTCAAAACATAAAAACAATGTATACTAATATTTCAGATTTCTTCATTAAAAAGGGGGTGCGCGTTATACGGCGAATAAAGCCTAAAAATTAAAAATATTAGCTTGAAAGTATACATGCGCGTTATACGCCGGATTTTACGGTACATGTGACAGAACCACAAAATTAAGTGGCAATTATTTTTTTATTAATTACGATTAAATGTATCCCATTGTCATCCAAAACAATCGTGTCTAAAAATTCAGTTCAAATGAATGCCTTAAAACGTGAAAAAAAAATCTTTTTGAAGTTTTGTCCCAAGTTGCTAAAAATCAAGCCAACGTGACTGAATCTGTAATTCTTTAAATAATTAGTTTCATTCAATTAATTTTAGTTAATTATAATTAAATTATCATATTGTCACCCGAAACAATCATCTATAGAAATTTCAGCTCAAATGAGCGCTTTAAAATGTGAGAAAATTGACACAAGTCGCCAAAAGGGTCGCTAAGTCACCAAAAATGATGCTAACGTGGCTGTATCTGTAATTCTTTAAATAATTAGTTTTAACCAATTATTTTTTACTAATTATAATTAAACTACCGTATTGTCATCCAAAATAATCGCGTATATAAAATTTCAGCGGCCGGCTGGGTGGTGTGATTGGTTTCTCGCTGGCCTTCTGCACCTAAGGTTGTGGGTTCGACCCCGGCCCAAGTCGGTCTATTTTCATGATACAGAAAAAGAATTAGTGGTCGTGTCGTATGATTATACGCCATGTAAAAGATCCTAGAGTGTCTGTTTGGCTTGGGTGCTCTAGGCAATATTAAATCCTAGTACAAGTTCACATCTTCAGAGCTCAGGTGCCTCCTTCTAGGGAGGAAACTGGGTGTCGAAATACCGCGGGGAATGGTATCCGCCTATATGGCGCCGCACTAAAAAGAGATACCAGCTTTCGAGGAATGTACTACGTCTGCAATGGAGAAACTCCAATTGGCAGCCCATTAAAAATAAAAAAATAAAATTTCAGCTCAATGGAGTGCTTTAAAATGTATTTTATTAACGATTGAAAATTTGAATTATGTATAGGGAGATTGTGAACTAATAGCAGGAATTGAATAAGAATATTCTGACTAAAAACTGCTGAAAAATATCTAGTGAAACGAGTGAGTACCGGCTAGTGGTTGTATATGGAATAGAATAAATTTTAACATAAGTCAATAAAAATTTAAAATCATTCGTCAAATTAGTATATCTTACACTCTGAGGCACTAAATTATTCATTAAACCTATCCATTTACATTTAATACAGTCACGCACTTATATGAATAAGTAATTTTATTTATTTTACTAAACTCATTCAGTTTGCAATTTATTCTATTTACCTCCAAATTATACGGTGTGATAAGAGGCTTCCTAAATATCCCCAATCTCACAGTAACTCTTTGTATAAGATTACAACCTTTTCAATTAAATTCTGAGGTGGAAAAGCCGATCTTCTTTTCAATTAAATACTGGTTTCTGTGGATTTCTCTGCAACCCTTTTCAAGGGAAAGGCTTTCGTTAAGCAAACAGCTCGCTAAATGATCAGCTTTCTTTCCCGCCTTTCTACTCGGGGCACAGTTAGAGTGATTAATAGAGGGATAAATTGGCAAAGTGTGTTATTGTTAGGGTGGAAAGGGAATTTTCGACTAATCTTCAATTATTAGAGATTATTTGTAGGATTCAGAATAAGAGAGAACTCAAATAGCAAACGTAGAAGTGAAAATTTAGTCTTGGTTAAAATCTATAAAATAACTGATTGGATGCGTTTTTCTATTCCTACTATTAGTTCACACAATCTCTCTCTATATATTTGTTTATATATATATATATATATTCAAATTTTCATATCATTAATAAAATACTTTTTATTGATCCACTTAAGTTCAAATATACATTTTTTAAATTTGTAATGGATGACACTTTGCTGTTAACAATGTGGAGTGTTTTAGGGTTTTAGCGTCGGTACTGTTACAGTTTTTGTTGTTTGGGGATATATAATATTTCGCGTACTTTTCTTATTTCAAAAACCTTGACTTCAGGTTATTATTTAATTGTTTTGAAGGCATTTTCCTAATCTAAATATGAACAAAAAGGGTGAAAAAAGCCAAGGTGTATAGTCCCAAACCGTGTGTAAATAAATAAAAAAACGTAACAAACATTTTATGCTTTCAAATCATACAATGTAGGACTTTACGTTTCTTCATGCTTCGAGATTTTCCACACTCAATCTTCATTTTAATTTTGCTATTTATTTTTGTAAATAATATTTGTCGTAATTTTTTTTATCAATTTGAAAGTGTATTAATGGGTTTCGTCGATGAAAATTTTGGAAAAAAATTGAATAGTACTTACGAAATTTATTTCCCAAGGTAAGTCATATTTTTTACATAATTACACGTAAGTTAAAGGAAAAACGTTATTACATTCTAGTTTTAATGTAACTGACAACTTGTGTAATAATCTGAAGGGGTACCAAAAATTACGAAGTTAGGACTGAAATTTTATTATTTATGCTTTTTTTTAAGTTAGGCTTAGCGGCGAAAACGCCCCGTCCTGAAGTGCAAGTCCTTACGCATTCATCCCGTCTCTAGCGAGCGTCTCATAGAAAACCGCCCCGTCCTGAACAGGTTAATACAGTTTTTTCAAATTTAAATTCATTAATTAAACTTAATTAATGAACATGTAGTAACAAACAAAAATATAATAGTCCAACACCATACATAAAAAGGGAAAACGCTAGTTTTGTGCCTGTAGCGGAATGGATAGAGCGTTGATTTCTAATCAAAAGTTCATGGGTTCGAATCCTACATGGGTTGACCTAATTTCTGTGAATATGATTTATGAATGAATAAATAGTAACAAACAAAAATAATAGACCAACACCATATATAGAAAGTAAAATCGCTTTCTATTTTGCCACTTAATAGTGTGATTCAGTCATATGTGTATACATATTTATATTAATTAAAATTATTTAATA